AAAGCATTTAGGGCTATAACAATGTGTAGCTAGAGGGCTTTTCAAATAGTTATTTATTTTAAGTATTCTTACACTGCTCCAGCTGGCATGGCTCCCAGAGCGGCTTACATAAAGCCGATAAAAATCAGCAGAGACAATATCAATAAGACAATAAAACCTGAGTAGTTTAATTGCAGTGGGGGGAAACAAACTCCAAGATGGGCGGGAAACCTGTGGTCCTCTAGATGTTGCTGCACTACAGTTCCCAATTGCCTTCACCATTGACCATGCTGACTGGGGCTGATGGGAGCCAGAGTCCAACAATATCTGGAAGGCCACACGTTCCCCGTCACTGCTCTAAAAGGCTTGGGCAAATAAAACGATTTTCACTTACTGCCAAAAAGAAAGCACAACTCAGAGCTAGGTGCATCTCCTTGGAGAAGAACATTCCACAAACAGCATGCTACAACTGAAAAGCCTATTCTCCAGTCATCAGCTGTCTTACCTCCAATGATGAGGAAACCGGAAGAACAGCCAATGAGGAAGATCGTATATTAGGCAGGTGCAGGTACACCAATTCCAGGGGACTGAGGTGTCTTTGGCCCTCTCAATATTTGTTAGAAGGGGGCCGAGCCCCCTCAGTGTTGAGGGGGTGGAGGAGGCCAAGCGCAGAGCAGAGTGCGGCGCAGCTTCAGTGGCCGGCTCCTCCAGAGCGCTCTGCCTTCTCCAGACGTTGTGACGTCGCACACATGGGCAACACACATCAGGCCCCCTCAATCTTGGGGGCAACTTGGCACCTGTGGCCAGGTACATAAGGGAGAGCTGTAGTCCTTAAGGTACCTGGCCCCAAGCCATTTAGAGCTTCAAACCCTATGGATTGTGTTTGGATATCCATGGCCAGGTTCACCCAGTCTATAAATAATCACAGCTGTCAAACAAGCTGGTGTTGGCTTCAGGAGCACCCACAAGCTATGAACCCTCTTCTTTCTGAGAGAGTGCTGCCTTCCAAAGTACAGGTCAAGGTTGCCACCAACCACCAGCACCTCTATTTTACCATGATTCAGTCTCAGTTTATTGGCTCTCATCCAGCCAAGAGGTCCAGCAGAAGCCCCCCAAAACTATTCTCAGGTAGTGGTCCCACAGATAGGAGTGGAAACACTGTAATATGGTCTTCCACACCACAGAGCCTCTTCAGGAGGATACTATGGTCAACAGCAGGCTTCCTCAACCTTACCCCTCGAGATGTTTTTGGCCTACAACTCCCATGATCCCTAGCTAGCAGGACCAGTGGTCAGGGATGACGGGAATTGTAGTCTCAAAACATCTGAAGAGCCAAGGTTGAGGAAGCCAGGTCAACAGTAATGAAGGCTGCTGAGAGATCAAGTCATTGTGCAATACTTCTGGGTTTAAGGAGGCAATAAGAAGGCTCACTGGAACTAGGCTACTGTAGAGAAACCATCTTCTTTATTCTGGAACACACTATTGTATCTTAAATCACAAGATGTTCCAAGGGTCTGGTATGCAGTTACTACAGCCTTGGGTAAAAACATTTGTTAAACATTTCTAATTTAAATGGAGTTGGCTGGAGATATTAATGCAACCATTTCATTGCCAGAATATAATGCTTTTACTTTGATTTAATCACAGAACAAACAGATCTAATTTTTAGCCTCTCTCTGCATGGTGTCCAGGAAAAGCTACTGCAGTTTCCACATGAAGCATGCAAACCAGAAGAAGGAACCACAGTCTAAAGGAAGGAAATCACTAGTGAAACCACAATTGCACAGCTGTCTCCAATGCTAATGCTTCTGAAGCAAATTTCAGCAGCCCCACCAGCTTCTTTAAGACACCACTCTCTGTTACTTTTTGGAATGATATTCAGTGGGGCTTCTAAGTGATGAGCTAGCAAATAATTGATCATACCGCAAGCTATGTGAGCAGAAGAAAACACTGAAATGTTTGGGTAACTACCATGGCTATTCTACAGCAGGGTTTTGCTACTGCAAGGTTGGGATTAGCACAGCCAAAAAACCCTTATCCCACCCTGTTCTAAAACTTGCAGCAGAGAGAACAGGAGACAGAATGTTGGGACCGAATGCAGAAATTCAGCAATGTGTTGCTTGACTTCAAAATGGAGGCAGGTTTGTCCTCGCAGATTATACTGTGCAGGAGAGCACAGACACTCTGTAGGAAATTTTGGAGAGGCCTGCACAGAATGCCTTTCTTTTCAGGGATTCAGTCCAGTCACCCACATTGCTTCATGAATAATGCATTGGCAGGGAAAGGAGAAATATAAATTGGCTTGACAGGCAACCTGAATAAACTAAAGTGGCTCTCGAAATTTGCCTGGTCTCGCAAGTCCGCACAGAACTCAACAATAAGTGAGTGACACAAACCAAACAATTCCCAAGTTTTCTCTTAAAAGAATTTACACTGTATCTTTTAGCACATGCAATAATGCCTGTCCTTCGTAACAGTTAACCATGCAATTAAGTAATCTACCTGAATTCTAAGAATTTGCTAAATATCCACAGGCAACTACATAAAAGCTTAAGGAAGTCCAGATAATACATAGTGTTGATAGGCCCTTGATGGGAGCCCAGTCCATTAATACTAAGAGTCACATGTATGCCACCTTAAGTTTGGTGCTAGTAGGAAAAAGGGGATTAAAGTGGATTTTGAATGGATTTTAAATGAATTTTTAAAGTGGAATTTAAATCTCTATTATAAACAAAAATTCCAGAAGTAGTTCTTCATTTTGTAAACTAGCATCATCCCACTGGATAAGTCGTCTCTGTAGCTTTCCCCCCATTATTTCTGTACAAATACCATGAGACTTTAATGGATAACCAGCTGTTGTAGCTACTCTCAGAATGAAAGCAACCATTAAAACCAGCAAATTTAACTTCTACATTATTGCCATAAAACCGATTTGTCAATTTGTACCATGATGTGAAAACCCCAGGCTCTTCAAAATAGTGTTTTCTTGACCAGATATTACAGAACTGTCATTGAGAGCAAGAACACATTTAAAACAAAACCCAACAATTTATACTCCTATGTTGTATGCTAGCCAGGAAGTGCTTAAATCAAGATCAAGATCAGGGTGAGAATAACACAGGACAGCCTACTCATTTTGTTTCCACTCTCCTGAACAGAATGGTTCTGTTTTATAAGCTGGAGGGAAAACACGGCCGCCTTCTGTCCACAGTCACCTAGCATGTAGGGGAATGAATGCCAAGGGAAAACTTCTGGCAGAACACGTCAAGCCTATGTGACTAGGTTGGTCTCTTTCCACCCCCTGGTGCTATTTGATTCAGCCTGCTTGAGTATTTCAATCTGTTGCGCTCCAAAACAGTACTGTGAGTCTCCTCCTCACATCTGCCAAAAACAGCTGAACATTTTACAACCTCTTGGTATCTTGTGAACCTCGACAACTGTGCTCAACCAAAGTGATGCTAGCCAAGAAAGAGCCTCGGTTCAACCAGGATTTAATATTTCAATTACAATACCTGCAAATAAGAAACCAGAGACTCATCACCTGCACAAAACGACACACCCAATCCATTGTGCAGCCCTTCCCAATTTGGGAAGACAGTTGCAAATGCCACTGGGTAGTTTTACCCTCTTACTGTAATGTGTTCTCAAGTAACAAAGTATTGGAAGAGTAATATGAACTGCATAATTGATGGGAAGGATCTTGGCATCACTCTTGCACAGAGGTAACTGTTACATACCTCATAGGGGCAGGCCACTACAGCATAGTCTGCAAGACATTTTAGATTTAGAAGTGTAAGGTTAATAGAATAAATCCATTAAGAGTTGCAGGCCAAATGAAACACTCAGAACTTCCCCAGTCCTCCTCTTTGAAAAAAGCTTCATGGCCATACATGGCCATTCTTGTAGCCGTGGCAGTACGTTCCATACTATGAACACCTAGCTGTCAAAAAAGCATGGGTCTTCATATCTGTTGACAAATTATACTTTGCTTAAAATAAGCTGCACATTCCAATCTAAAGAAGAACGGCTTCCCATTTACATGCTGGCTGGGCTGGGCTGGTGGGATGTGATGTTTCAATCTGTGCATTGTTTTCAACCAGGTTTGGGCCTGTGTGTGTGTGCTTTGATCAGCTCATTCACCAATCTTTTGTAAGAAATGGAAGGAAAGCTTTTCAGGCAATCCAAGCATGGATTTGTAAAGAATTTCATGGGACAAACTTACCTGACAGCTTAGAAAGTTGGAAACCTTTGATCAGTGAGGTACCTGGAAAATGCCATTGTACTGGCAGCTGTTAACAAAGCTTTCAAGTTTTACTGTGATTTGGCAACTGCTGCTTAGAGCCTCTAGGGAAGAACATTGGTCAAAGCTGCAGTAAATGTACTAATGGCACCATCTAAGGGCACTAGGATGTAGTACACTCATCTCTATCTGAAACGCACATTCTGTGAGCAATCATACTCTTAAAACAGTGAAAGCAACGCAAAATGTATCAGCTGGGATTTCAAATAGTGTAAACCATCAAAATGAATTTCTTGCGTTTCATTTCCATCTATGCTTTCCTTTATGTTATATTCGAAAGTCCCTAGGGATTCTTTATAGGGCTTTTTATGTATTGTCACTCTTAAAAACAACTATTCCCCATGTCTCCTTTTACACATTATCTGAGATTCAGAGCATTTCTTAGATGTGCAAAGACACTTCCACATACACACCTGGGCTTCCTTTCTGTTAGTCTCAATGGCATCTTCTCCTGTTGCCCTGATTACTACCTTGCATCACAGAGCTGCTTGCCAAGTGGTGAAAGGAGATACAATTTGCACAAAAGGTCTTAAGAGCCCAATGTACATGCAAAGCTCTGCACTAGGCCCCTTGTACCTAGCCACTGTACGGATGCACAAAGCCCAATGTTAGCACACTTAAGCACTAAAGTACATAGATGGGTATGAAGCTGGCTTTTTCAGACCTCTATGGTCCATCAGTGTACTGTCTATACTGGCTGGCAGTGGCTCCCCAGGGTTTCAGCTCTACCAGGAAATGTTGGGGATTGAACCTGGAACCTTCTGCATCCAAGGCAGGTAATCTACCACTGAGCTACAGCCCTTCAAAAATGCAAGGAACTATAGTGTGAAGGTGTTTTTACTTTCCAATCTGCTTGGGAAGTCAGGGCAGGGACTTCTTCACTTGCCACAGAAAAGAGCTAGCAGTATTCCAAAGTGCAGGGCTACAATGACAGTGTGTTTTTCATGTCATTAATGACACTTTGCGAGGAAGAAGGAATCTAATGCTTGTCCTATCATAATCTGATGGCTTCCCTTAGATCACATTCATCATTATTGTAGAGCTTTATAGGTGCAATGTGGGGGGCCTCTGCACAGAAGCAATTAGAATTTGGTTGAATTGTTTAGGTTTTCATAGGAAATAATGGGGAACAAGGACTGAAAAGCAGCTAGCTACAAGTTGTCTTGAGTAAGCTGTTATCACTTTTGATGAAAGCAAACAAAGTTCATGCCCAGAATCTCACATATCACACTTTATTTTTACTTCTTTTTTTTTTTTACAATCTCTACATATTTGTAGTATGAATTAGACGGTTCCCAGATGAAAAGTGTGATGTTACAGCTGTGGAATCTGTGTTTTGACCAGTACTATAGGGCAAAACATGTTAGATGAAAAACTGAAGGCTCTTAACTCCATGTTTTCAGGAAGATAAGGAAACAGCATTTGCAGAACAGAATCAGTGGTCAAGGATATACTTTGCATGCAACAGGTTCCAGGTTCAATTCCCAGAAGCTCCAGGTAGGGTTAGGAGATAACCCAGCATGATACCCTAGTGACCCGCTGCCAATCAGTGCAGAAGGACCAATGGTTTAACTCAGCCTAAAGCAGCTTCCTATATTGTCACATTCTTTCAAATAGATGTTGAAAAACCTTTACAGTCAAAAGAGATTTTGGCTGTAGATGTTTGTGTTCTAAAGTATTAAGATGGCACATGGCTCAATGGTAAGAATGTGGACTTTGTGCGAACTCCAATCCAAAATGAGACCTGGCAGACGATGCATTTCAACATCCTATTTCACAAAATGACCTATTTCTTCTCCTATTATAAATCCATGCATTAAAAGCATACCATAGCTTCATAAAGACAGGGATTGAGTCAGAGAAGGTAAATCACAAGCCACTGTTATATCCTGTGTTTTCATCATCATCTGCATAGAATGTAATGCATATTTAATGTGCACTGACCTGTACTTTCCAGTCCGTACTTGTAGAGCTCTCATACCGCAATGCTGGGCACCTCCAACATCATTTACAATATCATCCCCAATCATGATGGCCTGTCACAGCAATGAAATACAGACAAAAGTGGTGTCGAGTGCATTTGATTCCTGTCATACTTCATCTTCCTTGACATAATAAACTGCTTGATTTGATGTTTAATACAGCCATCATACAAATTAAACAAGATAATATTGTCACCGTATTGATTAAAAGTCAGCTCACCTTGAATATAATTCATCCTCTACCTATGAGGCAAGCACTATACATCCAGGCAATTTGAAAACCATCAGAGAAGTCAACATGCTTTTGAGACAATGCAATAGTATGCTAACATTTCAAGACGTTCCCATCGTATCTTTCAGTTACTAAGTGGTTAAATGGCACAGCTTTATTTCATTGTAACCACAGCCTGTTGGCCTAGATCTATCTATACCAATAGTACTGTGTGCTTTCCATTGCTACCTAATAGAGAAATATTGCTCACTATGCAATGGCAATTAATTGCATATTGCTGAGTTGGTTGCGGAGTTAGTTACAGAGTGGTGGGCTTTAGGGGAACAGAAAATGTATTATGACTGGCAGTGTCTCTCTTGGTGATGGTTCCTGTTATTTGTTTTTAAAGTATAACTAAATGTTAAGGGGGTGGGGAAAATGTGACTCTAGATTTTGCAAAGCCCATCAAACTGTTTGCTGAAGATTTCCTCTGATCATGATATTCAAGTTTAGCAGGTTTCATTTTATGTGAAAAACAATACTCAACACTTCTCCCTTGAAAACATCTGTACAGCAGTGGATGAAGTACAGCTACAGTTGCATCATGTGTGAGACAGAGCAGGCAGATTTGTCATGCTATCATAAGAGCCAGTTGCTAACTGCATGATGATCAAAATGCCTTAGTATGCATAGATGAGCTGTCCCTAATCCAGCTCTCTGTGTCCTGCCCCTGCCCAATTCGATAATGCATAGAATCAGTTGCATCAGTGGCTGTTCCAGCTGTTCTGGTACCATTCTAAGCTGACATGTCATCCAGGTCTCTTTCCATCACATCCAGTGCTTTTTTTCTAGAAAAAGAGGTGCAGGTACTCACAATGAAGTTGTTACAGTAAGTGCCACACTTTTTAACGACAACAAAAAGAGGTGCTGGTACTGTGTACCCTTGAGTACCTCCTGGGGAAAAACACTGATCACTGCCATATCAAAAGGCTATCGTAATATACCATCACAGAAGTTGATCACTATGCTGGCTTCCTCAAAATATACCTATTCTAAAACAGATTGAGAATATATTACAAATGATTAGGATCCAGTATCAGATTTTCTGGAATTATGTCATGTAGCAAGGTGAGGAGACAATTCAACTTACTGACCCAAACATTGCATTTTTAATGCTCGTTTTCTTTCAAGCCCTGCATTCCAGTCATACCAAATGGAATTTTACTTTGATAGAACAAGTACCATGATCTGCTGTCAGTTCTATAATAAATAAGGGGCATTATTCCCAAATCATTTAGGATTTAAAAAATCATTGGCAAGAAGCCTGACTCAGGCTATCATCTTGCAGGAAGCTATCTTGGCTTGATTACCAGTAGATTTTAATCATTGCTGGATCCAGGAATTAAAGAGGTCTGGCTCCATCTTTACACCCCAAGCTGTGATTAAATTCTAACACTTGCTAGGTCCAGGGATTAATTGGAGTGGTCTGGCACCCACAAACTCATAATAGTATATTATTTGGCATTTATGTGAAAGTTAGGGGCAATGGATCTAATTCTAGGCCTAGCTGCATGTAACTAAAGTCCCCAAATGAGGGACTTTGGCTGCATTTTACATTGGCTCCAGAACTCCTTGCTCAGCTGGGGAGTTGGATACCTATGATCACACAATCCTATTTTTATAATTACTTCTTACTAGTAGGGATCAAAGTAATTAAGCAGCAACTGGAACCAACAGCAGTAGGCAAGAATGAAGTGGCAGCAGCTGTTGGTGTTCTTGTCTCCACTACAATTTTTATGCAGATTTCATAGAAAGCTGCATAATTCAGTAGCATAAGTAGGAATCTTGATTTAACAACTGAGTGTTCAAATGTGGTTGTTGTTTCAAAATGGAAATTTCAAATTTAATGGATTTTGGAAACAATTGCGTGACTTGCTCAGCTCCAGGTCAGGGCCAAGTTCCCTTCCACTAAACCAGGAGCCTATGCCTAGGCAGTTGTTTTGTTTGCTATCAAATGTTTAAGGAAACACAGTTTTCCAGTGGTTTATAAAGCTTCAAGGAAGATGCCTGCAAAATGAGGGGCCTAAAAAGGATCAAATCCCTTGCTGCAATTAACTGGGGCATTTGATTACTGGTGAAGTATTCCTCTCTGTCTCTAAAAATAAGTTTTCATGCGAGAAGACCATCCACATTGAAAGTGCAGCTGCACATGAGCAGCAGTGCCTATCCAGGCCAGCTTGTGGCATACGCATACAAAAATGTACTCCAGCCCCCTGGGATTTCACAGATTTACTATCGGTGAAGGGCAATAATCACTAAAGGAGGAGCAATTATTCCCAAATCATTTAGGATTTAAAAAATCATTGGCAAGAAGATAGAGGTCAAGAGGTGCACTGTCAAGGGAAATAAAAAACTCTACCTGTCAAACCTAGGTTTAACTTCCTCTCTGACTGCAATATACTAAGGTGGGGGGGGGGGACAGGCAGAGAGGGATGGGAGGGGGGGAGAGATAAAACCGAAAGGTCACATGCCTGCTGAAGGCCAGAATTAAAAGATCTCCAGTTTGTCCACAGATTTTACACAGGGAGTACAGTTATTTTGTTCAATTAGCATGAGGAAATCTTTAAAAATTAACTAAAAATCCTATTATAGACTTAGAAGGTGCCGCAAGAGGCAAAATGACATTGAAGGCTACAGAAATAAGAGATGTGTCACAAAAGGAAGACAACCATAGATGGGTGTTTTCCTTGAGATAGTGGCTGTTATAAAATTGCAGTACACATATCCTTGTTTTCTTGTGACCAGTGGACCAATGAGCTGTGGAAAGCCAATATTGGAATACTCACTTTGGAAAGCATGAGAATGATCACCAGAAGATGAGGATGTATATAAGAGGTCCAAATAATATGGACTAGTATGGCCAAAGAGCAAAGAGTCCCAAACTCTGCTTATTCGTAAAACTTACTAGCGGCCTTGAATCAGGCATTCTGTCACAACCTACAGTGGTGCCCCGCAAGACGAATGCCTTGCAAGACGGAAAACCCGCTAGACGAAAGGGTTTTCCGTTTTTCGATGCGCTTCGCAGGATGAATTTCCCTATGGGCTTGCTTCGCAAGACGAAAATGTCTTGTGAGTCTTGAGATTTTTTTCCGCTCCCCCCCCCTTTTCTAAGCCACTAAGCCGCTAATAGCCTTTTAGCAGCTAATCCGCTAATCCGCTAAGCCTTTAATAGCCGCTAAACCGCTAATAGCGCTAATCCGCTAAGCCGCTAATAGGGTTGCTTCGCAAGACGAAAAAACCGCTAGACGAAGAGACTCGCGGAACGGATTAATTTCATCTTGCGAGGCACCACTGTAATCTCTTAAATGTAGCAGGGAGAAATGTGGCAGCAACTGTCAATCATCTCACACATTTAAAAAAGGCCAAATAAGCAATGGTTAATAATCAAAGTTCAGGAATGAATACTCAATAAAGCCCCTCCTGCCTTTTCCTTTGCAAGGCTTAGTACCTGTGGCATTATTTTTTTGCGGCGGGGGGGGGGAATGATTCTATCTAATTGGAGTTCTATCTACCTGGAGTTTTATCTGTCTGGCAGAACAAAGGTTG